CAAATCATAATATTTCTTTATGTACAACAATTACATAACCATACTATCTATTACAAATAACAAGAATTAAAATATTTACATTTCTACAGATTTACCACTGATTACATGACTTGTTTCTCCTTCTGGGAGTCCAAGGTAATCAGTTACATCCAAATGCATGAAGTCTAAATTATCTTCAGAAATAAAATTTGCTTCAGCATTTTTCTCTGTCTTCTTTAGGGAGGCTTGATAAAGCTCAACAGGTGCTTTGGTGTACGACAAGTACGTGACCAGTGCCCTTTTTCTCCACATCTATAGCATGCATTTTCTGCATTTGGTGCTTGCACCGCTTCATGCTTTTGTTCCTTCCTTTTCCACTGCTGGTGGTGAGGAGTGTTCTTTGGTGCATTATTATTACCATGATTAGAGTTTCTTTCCCGACCACGACCATGACCACGACTGGGGCCACGACCTTTTCCACGTTTAGCCTGGTGGAAGTTCGTCTCATTCACTTCAGGGAATGGACAAGAACCAGTAGGTCGGCTTTCATGATTTTTCATTAATAGCCCATTATGTTGCTCGGCTATAAGAAGATGTGAGATAAGTTCAGAATACTTTTTAAATCCCATCTCTCGATATTGCTGCTGCAGGAGCATATTCGAGGCATGAAAAGTGGTGAAAGTTTTCTCCAACATATCATGATCAGTAATATTATCACCACATAACTTCAATTGGGAAATAATTCTGAACATAGCAGAATTATACTCACTGATAGATTTAAAATCTTGTAGCCTTAGATGAGTCCAATCATATCGTGCCTGTGGAAGAACGACCATCTTCAGGTGGTCATATCTATCTTTCAAATTATTCCACAGTATGACTGGATCTTTAACAGTAAGATATTCCATTTTCAGGCCCTCATCAAGGTGATGGCGTAGGAATATCATTGCTTTGGCACGATTTTGGTTTGATGCCTGATTTGTGTCTTTGATGGTGTCTGCCAGACTCATCGCATCAAGATGAATTTCAGCATCAAGCACCCAAAACATGTAGCTTTTTCTCGATATATCCAGAGCTACAAATTCAAGTTTAGAAAGATTTGACATTATTTAGGAAAAGAAAGTTCTTACCTCAGATATTCTCAAAATATTTGCTCGAGATGGCAGAGTCTCGTGTTGATAACGTGTTATGAAAGAAAGACTATAAAGTAAAGACAAGTATAGAGAGAAACTGATATATTATTCGAATTCAAACTAATGTACATAATGAACTGAAATCTCTTCTATTTATAGAAGAAAGGAAGCTTATTTCCAATATAGTACTAAATAGATAAACATATTTACGGTGGAGTCTCATATGGATAAGCTTCTTCAGGAAGCTATTTACAACGGAGTACTAAATGAACATCCATAATATAATATATTTATAACAGGAGTGAATTTTTAGACCAAGAAGTAGAAAGATCAACTTGCAGCCTTATAAATCAGCTAAGAATTTAACAATATTGGCTGGCTGATTTGATAAATTCTCTTGCTCACACCACCCTTAACAGCAGTGGCGGAGGCATGATTAACACTAAGGGGTCAAAATAAAAGGCCAGCGCAAACTGAACCAATAAAGGGCAGCTCGGTGCACTAAGCTTCAGCTATGCGCGGGATCCGGAGAAGGGACGGATCACAAGGGTCTATCGTACGCAGCCTTATTTGCAATAGGTTGTTTCCACGGCTTGAACCCGTGACCTCCTGGTCATATGACAACAACTTTACCAGTTAAGCCAAGGCTCCCCTTCTGCAAATTGAACCAATGACCTTACAAAGATTTTAAACCCCCTTCCGCCCCTCGACCTTTGGAAAATAGAAACTGTCCAAACATATTGACGGCAGGGGAGACTTGAAATCTCTGGACATATCAGGTAATGAAACAGTAACAAATTGTTTCTGTTTAGGATGATAGATGACAAGTTGATTCATCGACTGTCCATGGAAGAAAATTTCACCATTTTCACTGCACCACAAAAGCTTCATATTACATAAAAACGGTATGCAAATTGTGGGCAAGTTGTAAATTTTCATTAATAATTTCCAACCATCTTGTTCCATAATCCATATGTCCAATCCTTCATTGTAGTATGTGCCACCATATAAACTAAGACAACCTTTTAAACTAGTCAAAACAAATATATCCTTCACACTCACGAATTCTGGCATTGGAAGTTTTTTCACGTCATCTGATTTCACGTCATAGTATATAATTATAGAAGTTCTAATATCTACATAATCGCTGATTGATCCCCAACTCAGAGACCAAAATACACAACCTTTCTAATAGCTGATAGAAGTGGACAAGGGAAACTTGTTTTCTTTGTCCAACAACCCTTATTCAAAGAGTAGACAACATAAAACAATTTACATATCACAATAACCTTGTAGTCGTCAAGATTAGAATCATTGCACAATCCACAAGCTTTTGGGCATTCGTTGTCCAGGTTCAAATAAGGACATAATTCAAGAACTCGATATTTTGTGGTAGATGGATTCCACAAAACATACTCATTATAGGACTTATGGTCCTTAATAAGTACCAAACCATCACATGAGCACATGATTTCAGCACATTGTTGTAACCTTTTTAGAGGAAATAATTGTCTTTCCATCAAAATTAATTGAGGATTTTCGAGGTCTCTAAAGTTGAAATAACCAGTAGGTCTTTGTACCAATAGCTTTTTGCGGCCTAACGCTTTGGTTTGATGATGGTGAATTTTTGTGAATTCATCGTCACAGATTATAGCATTCCATGCTTTAGAAACAGATTTAAAACGTAACAAAGATTTAACTGGAAGCCTAGTAAGTATGAAAAAGATGGTATCAGTTGGAACATCAATGGATGTTTCACCTTTAATGGCTAGCCTCTTTTGAACTTTCTTCTTTGACATTACGATGTCTGCTATCATACGTGGTAAGTTGTTGTGTGAGGAGGGCTATTTACTGTACCTAAATATTTATAGTTTTTTTGTTTCTTTTCTATTTCTATTTGGAAAAGGAATTATTTTTTCCTAATTATATTTGGAAACGGGGAAATAAATTAGTGCAGATAATCTATATCTTCCATGCTAAATATTGAATGACTAAAACATTGAATGAGTTTTATGCCCTTTAAAATTAAAATATTTATTTCAAAAAAACTAAATACCTATTGGGTACAATTGTAACATTAAAAACTTACGTCTGTCCAACTTCAATTTGCATGGAATTCTAATAACTAATTAAGTGTCCTACCAATAGTTGAAGTTCCAAAGCTACACTAACCCTATCCTATATAGATAAAAATACTTAGAACCAGGGCGGAGCAAGAGTGCCGGAAACGGGTTTGGCCAAACACAATAACTTTGGTTCAAACCATATATTTATCTTAAGAAATTCATTAAATATGTATAAATTATTGATTAACAACTAAAATCTCGAACTCATAAGCTTGAAATCTTAGCTCTGCCTCGACATAAAACCACCTCCTTCAATTACTAGATAATGCTCCATAGAAGACCGGGATAATTCCAATGCAATAGGCCCTCTTACTGTCATTTCCTATGGCTACTCTTCTGCGAGGCTTTAATCATATCGTTTCCATTTCCTTTCCACGATAAAAAATTCCAGATGAATTTACATTTCCAGGATTAAAACCAAATTATTAGCGTCACAATCACGCAAGAATACTGATACAGAGAGTATGATTACTCACTCGCTACCTCCTTTACAAACACAATCTACACCGACATGTGGATAACAAATTTATATCCAGAGTACAGATATCATACATCTAATGTGTTGTCAGTCGAGCTGTTTAGTCCAGTCAAAAGGCTGCCAATCTCGAATAAAACTAGCAACAGCTTGTCTCTGTGTCTCCACTGATTCACGCTTCCGACGCTGCTGATGCATGTCTTCAGGTGGCAACTTCAACATTCCTCTTACCACATTGAGGCCAAAGCTGCTATTGAACTGTGTTTCATCGTCAATTACATGAACGAACCCCTTGTTTAAGCCGAATTCAACGTGGAAGTATGGAAAATCCTTTGGAATTGAGGACCGCAACCCTTTCACACTTGTATCTATGAGCTTCTTAGCATTGTGTTGACTCCATTCATCTTCTGCTTCATCAATTGCCTACAGTGAATATTTGTTAGGAGCAAGTGTAGAAAAGAACACTAATACAATGACATAGCAACAAATAGGGCATAGAAGAAAGGGAAAGCACAAGTATGAGCGTGAATGGAAGTGTAACCACGAGTATCTCTAGCACGCTATGCCAATCTTCATTCTTAGCGAGAAACAAATCCTAAGCTTGATTCTGAATATCCATAGGGTCTACTATTAAGAGCCAAGAGACAGTTCTATGTTTTCTTTCGCATCGATACATAAGCATTTAGCTAAAAAGAAGAGATGCAATTGTGAGAACATTAGCTTCCACCAAATAAGCCTAGTACATCCTATGACTTGTTAAGAGTAGAAAGACCAAGAAGTGGGACTTACTAGCACTGATCCTAACGACATTTCATATTTCACAGTTTCCGACCACTTTCTAATCATATTGACTAAAAGACAACTGGTAATCTTCAGATGCTTTGTCAAAACCACCTTCATAGCACAATTAGGAAGTCTAGGCAATTTCTAGATCCCAACAGAGAAATCCCAACTCATTCCAAACCAAAACTTGATAGACAGTAGCTAAAATAATAAAATGGCCAACTTATAGGATGGTTTTGCAAACCTTCTTAAAGTACAGAGGTCCCTGCTTCGCAACTTCCTTGGGCATAGGAATGCACTCGATCAAACAATGCCGCTTTTGCCGGGCCAAACCCATCACAGTCTCGAGAAAAATAAGATCCTTCTCCTGCTTTGCAAACATCATTATGAGGCATTTCTTGAAATTCCTAAACTCCTCCCAGACATTATCATCCAAAGATCTTGTAGCTGATTCATGCTGTTCAGAGAGCAAGCAAAGGTCATTATGACAAAAAACAGAGGATTGGGAGCAAAGATAGCGATATAACAAGAATTTTGGCAGCAACAACGTCCTCACATATCTTCCACAACAGAAAACATTTTCTTCTGATGTAAATGATTTCTTGAAATGCAGTAACACGGACAAATAAGAACATGGATCTCCATATTGCTAATACGGCATTCTACCCAAGAAGATAGCACACTAAAGATTATTTCTTCGAAATTCAATTAGTTGTTTAATTATACACAAGAACGAACGAAAAAGATAACCTACAGATATATGACCAGAAAAGGGCTCAAAGTCACCTGCATTGTCAAGATGCAGCAATGACCTGGGACAATCGGCTGCCAAACTGGCAGTGATAAGTAAGTGAAATTTGCAATGGCAACCACCAAGTGCTTTGGTCTTGTTGGATTCTCAAAGCAGAATTGGCATCTCTCTTGCTGAGTCAAAACGCGCCTTGCATGATGAGCTACCTCAAGAGATTTCTGATTCTCCATTCCTACTTTTTTCCGGGACTTTCTCCTCGGCCCATCATCATAATCATACTCATCATCTGCCTGACCGTACGTACTATATTGTTTGTTTTGCACTATCTTCTGAGCAAGATGCACATCAGCATCCTCCATTTTCTTATTTTGCCGAGCAGATAGGCCATGCATCACATATCTAAATAAAGGATAAGAGCCAGTACATTCAGCATGCTGGTAGGCATTGAGATCAAAAAGATAAAAAGAACTATTCATCAAGTCAAGAAAGCCACAACTGACAATTCAGATATAAAATACCTGCTTGTGCTCCCATGAATTGGTGGTCTGCTCGATACATCATTAGCAGTTTGTTTCATTTTCATCTCCTCTGCGTCTTTCTGAAAAAGAAAGTGATACACTATAAGTTGAATACAATCATGGAGCCTACACAGTCCGCTCGAGACTAAGTGTCATTAAGTCTTATAATAAACCCCCCCTAGTAATTTGCTTAAGAAACGGCAAGCTGCCCAACATGGAGATGCTTTAACAATGTCACTAGTTTCGAGAAAGCGGCAAAGAAAGAAATTTACAGACTGATCTAGCTATCAATTTAGAATAAAAACAATACTAGCTAAGAAAATAAGATCTGGGAAAGATGAATCATTTTTGGCACCTATGACCAATAGATAAAGCAGATGACACATTACAAACTATTGGTGCGTTTTAAAAGGCCAGCAACATCAAATATCAGTGATGTTACTTGAAACACACATGGTCTTGACTGTCAATTTAGAATAAAAACGATACTAGCTAAGAGAACAAGATCTAGGAAAGATGAATCATTTAGGAACCTACGACCAATAGACAAAGCAGATGACCCGTTACAAACTACTGATGCGTTTTAAAAGGCCTGCAACATCAAATATCAGTGATGTTACTTGAAATAAAATGGTCTTGACTAACCGTCGTGCTATTTGAATAATCTACAGAAGAGAATGAATTATTGCTCACCAGAAGTTTTTCTGCTTCATCGTGCATCCCTCTCATGCGAAGCTGCATCACTTTTGCAGCTAATTGATTTGCAGTCAAGGCTGGTTTGATATTTGTTCTATCTTCACTTGTTTTCTCATATATTGGTAAATCTGGTTTTGATTCCGAGACTCCAAACCTTGGATTTGAAGAATCACGAGCACGACTGGGATCACCACTCTTTTCATTCATAAATTCACGCATAAAATTTCCGTCGTTGGAAAATTTATTTACACTAGAAATTGCAGTGGCAATAAGCCCCGGATCAGCATTGGATATATTTTGATTTTTCTCTTTGCGCCATGATAAAGAATTTTTAGGGTTGGGCATTCGCATTTTAGAATGACCAGCGGATGCGTCCTGCAAACACATGTTTATGAGACAAGACCAATAAAACATAGCACAAAAACAGCCAAATTGTCGTTTCCTCTTAGTAAAGGAAACTACACCATTTTCCTTCTGAATTTAAAAGGATCAAGGCACAGATTCTTAGAAATGAGACTACTGCATAATTGTTTTAAAAAAAAGCCAAAATTAATTTAATAAAAACTTGATATTCAGATGTCACTCCATCAAGAACTAAAATTACAAACGTACAAGCGTAAACTGTAAAGAGAAACCACAGAAATACAAAGCAACTAACTGTCGTCTAATAGTAAATTCACCGGCTCACATCTGACTTTACCTTTCTAGCATAAGTCTGATTTCTTTTGTCTGCAACAGCTTCTTTGTCATCCATTAACCCTCGCCTCCTATCGTTGATAGCATGAAGATGAGCACGGGTAGGTGCAGCTTTACCAGAAGCCACAGAAACAGCAAGCTGACCAAGTGAGCCCCAGCGTTCTGCTGCCACCTGTAACTGTAAAAGTTAGAAAGTGGCCGCAATAGAAGGGCAAGACAAACACTGAAATGCCAACCTCATCAAGCTTCCGTCCTTCACGATCTGCTTGTTCTTGAGCTCGTCTCAAGGCTTTGAGCCTCCAACTTGCACCTCCATCGCCAATAACAGCAGTAGATAGAAGTTGGCTACCACCAGTATTTGTTCCTTCTGAATCATCAGGATAACCACCTCCACCATCCTTCAAATATGGGTTCAGTTCTCTGGGATTTACTTTTATCACCTAAAACAAGAAACATACGGATGTCAGTCTGGTCCAATACATAACAATATCAAGCAGTGCGCCAAGATTACCCTTGCTTCATATCCCCTCAAAGAATTGAATAAGCAGCAGTACAGAGAATAATAAAGATTCAAGACAGTCGCTCACTATGCATTCAAAATAAATCTTGTGATACATTGGAATAAAGACATAAATACAAGGGAAAAGGTTCAGATTATCCTTGTACTTTGCGAAAAAGTCTAGATTTACCCTCCGTTAGAAGTTTGGCTCGATTAAGCCCTTTGTCGTTACACTTTTGGGCTAAATAAACCCCT